ACCACCAGCCTTCTGGTTAGCAGTCAAGTGCTTTAGCCACTATGCTACCAGAGCTCCTTATTATCTAATAGTTATGGACTAATCCTAAACCACAAAGACAAATGAAGTTCTAATACATGCTATTGGTAGCTCTGGTAGCATAGTGCCTAAGGCACTTGACTGCTAACCAGAAGGCTGGGGGCTCAAACCCACCAGCCATTCCTGAGAAGGAAGGTTGGGCAATCCACTTCCATAGTGATACCACCTCGGAAACCCAAGGAGGGGTCACTATGAGTCGGGTCCGACTCGACGGCACATAACAACAACAATATGTGTTATTACATCATGCTACAATATGGATGAACCTCAGAAACAGTGCTGAGTGAAATAGTCACAAAGAGACAAATATTTTATGGTTCCATCTGTTATGAAATATCTAGGATAGGCAAGTGTATAGAGACCAAAGTTTACTAGTGGTTACAGAGGTCGTGAGAGGGAGGTGAAAAGGTGGGACTCAATGCTTAGGGGATACTGATCTCTTAAGAGTAAGGGGAAAATCTGGAAACATAATGATAGTGGTTGAACAACATGATAAACATGTCACAGAATTACACATGTGAAGAACGATGTTACATATATATCTACCACAACAAAAAACAATTATACCTTAGGAAATAATGATTAGTGTAAAAAATGTTCACCTCTAATAATTATTTTTCTTAGTATTTATACCTTTACACTACCAACAGGAGAACATCCTTAGTTTCTTCTTTAGGCAGAACAAGTTGCTCCTGGTGAATCTGACGTAGGCAGCACTGGCTAACTCCATGACATTCACTGTGGCCACAGTAATTAGAAAAACATTCCAGATCTGTGGCTAAAGTATCTGAATATGACAACCCTGTAAGAAATTTTTACTGATGTAATGACTAGACATTTCCAATGCCTTTGTTTTTATATTAGCTTTCTGAAGCACCTCAGTTTGTTACTACCTCTGAGGAGCCATCCACTGGGCTAGTACTGCTGAAATAAAAGCAATAGCAATAATGACAACTATCACAGTAAACCACCATTTATTACGCCAGGCAGTAAGCTAAAAACTTTATGGTTTAAAAGTATTTGTTAAGATAAACCTAGTCTCTTAACTACTGAATGTTTCTATTAGAAATATCATAACCTTAATAACAATAGCCAACTAACCTAGCACTCACTACCACTCAAATATTTGGTCTTTTATGGATTCTTCTAATTATTGTTTTGATTCAGTATGTCCAAAAGTCAGTTCTTTTTAATTTAAAAATTTGTTACTATAACAAAACTTGTTTTCAAAACTACCAAACATGTTGTTCAATTATCTGCATTTTATGTATATATTTTTTTTGTTCCTTTCAAATGGTTATTAAAAATATTGAAGAATGTCAGGCTACCTTTGAGTAAATTCACCAGGGCTGTTAATGTTCAATTGAGTGTTTAGAATCAAGGAACTTTCAATAGATAGAGCTGCATTTGGAAACTCTATTGAGTTCTACTCGGTCTTAAAAATGGGTCGCTAAGAGTCAGAATCAACTGGATGGCAGTGGGCTATACAGATGTAAAATATTGTGCAGCCCAGCACAAAAATGTCGCAAAAATCCTCAATTTAAATATCAATTAAGAAAGTAAAAGTCTTGTTAACACCAAATAATGCATACTGTGCTCTTTTCACCTCATTCACCACTATTGTAATCCGATTAAAAATATATTTAAAAAACGATTCAATGAAAGCAAGAAAACACGGACCGTCCCAAAGCTTGAGAAAGAAAAAGACTGGGTTTAAAACATCTTCTAAAACACTGATAGCACTTTCAGAGTTTTCATAAACGTTGTAACCCGACACCCAGAAGGGAATGCAACCAGCTACCACGAGCTTCGAAGTACTCCCAATCCGCATGTCCTCTGTCCGCTATCCCTGAGGCCACGGGGGCCAGCAGGAGCCCACGACAAAATTCTAACCGATGCGAAAACAAGTTTTCTCTGCCCGGTGTCGGGCGCGAGGGGCCGACCTGCGACTCCGCCCTCGGAGCAGAGCCCCGGCGAGCAGCCCTAAGTCCTGGCCGCCGCCCCCGCCCTAGCCGCCAGGGACCCCAGCCCACAAAGGGGCGCGAGCCCTGAGCACGATAAGAGAAAAAGGAGGCGCTAGAAGGTGCCCTCTGCCGCCACCGCCCTTCGCGACGGAGGCCCCCCTACCCCGCCCCCACTCGCTCGACAACTCCCGACACCCGCCCGCGCCGAGGCGCTGCAGCTCGCCCGGCCCCTCCCCCACCGGCCGAGCTAGAGCGAGCTTCCGCACCTCCCCCGCTCGGGCTGCCTGGAGTCCCGGAGACACCGCCTCCGCAGACCGGACAGCCGCCGCGCAGCTCTTTGGGGGTTGGAGTCCTTAAGGATAGCTTTGCGCGCAGCAGAGGCGGGAACTAGGAACTACGACACCCACAATGCTCCGCGCCATCCCCACGCCCCCTCGCCGCTGGCTTCCAGTCACCCACAGACTACATCTCCCAACAGCCCCCGCGGCTCTCCCGCCCTCCAGAGACACGAGCCGAACTGGGCGTCAGGTCGGGGAGCCGGTCCAGTTCCCGCTCGCTGCCGCCGCCGCCCCCCGCAGCGACTCTCCCGCCTCATCAGCCGCGCCGGCTGCGGAAGCAGCTTCTTCGACACTGCTCGGCCTTGGAACCGCCAACCCGGGAGCAGTGCTCCCGGAGGCGACACGCCGAGTCCCCCATCACCTCTAGCCGGGGCGAACCCGCCCAGGTCCGCCCTCGCCCTGTGCGGCCGCCGGAGCCCCCGGCCCTGAGTGGCCCTGCGTCCGCACTCCAGCCCTTTCACTCCCGCAGCCGCCGCCGCCCCCCGCCCAGAACATGGACTCCGACTCCTGCGCCGCCGCCTTCCACCCGGAGGTGAGTGAAAGCTGCGCCCCCATCGCCCCCGGCGCCCACTTCGTGAGCGTGCGCCCCTGAAGACCGGACCCCTGTGGTCTTGCGCCGCCTCCCCTCCCCCAGCGTTCCTTCGCCGCCCCCCTGAGCCCCGCCCCCCGCTCGGGCCCGCGCCTGTCCTCCCGCCGGCTTCGCCTCGGCGGCCCTTCCCGGTCGTCTACGGCGCCTTCCCGGGCCTCTTGCCCACCTCTCTTGGGGCGGCTGTTCTCGGCCTCACAGAGCCCGGGACCTGTCTGCGTCCCTAGTTCCCCCGCCCGCATGTCTTCCCTCTCCCCGCCCCCGGGACTCGGTCCGACCCGCCACCACCGCCTGCTCGCAAGCTCGCGGTCCGGCTTTCTGGAGGAGCCCTCTTTCCAACCCCTTCTTTCAGGGAGGCTAGCGGCCTCCTGAGGGGATCCGCTCTGCGCGGCCCCCGCGGCGCCTCTAATCCCGCGGGCCCGCGCCCCGCCCCCTGGCTCCGCGCGGAGCTAGATCGCCCCCACCCCCTCGGCACTTGGGGGGCCTCATCCTTTGAGGTCCCCCGCCTCTGGGGTTCTCGTGCCCCCTCCCCCCTAGCCCGGCACGCTCCGCCCCCCGCCCCTGGGCCCTGCTCGCTCCGCCCCGGCTCGTTCCCCCCCCCCGCACCTTCCGGGGATCGGCCCTCAATCCCCCACTCTGGGCCCCTGACCCCCGAGGCAAGCTCTGCCGGGTGCCGGCGGCGGCGCTGGGGAAGGGGAGTGGGGGGCGTTGTCTTTGCTCACCGCCTACCCGCACCCGGGGGCAGTGCGTGGCCCAGGCAATCCCGCCAGCCGCCCTCGCCCGCCCTTCCCCCGCGGTGGGCCCCGCACCTTCCGGGCTGAGGCGACGGTGGAGGGGCAGCTTCCGCGAGCGGGCGACGGGGAGGGGGCCGTTCTGCCATCTGCTTTTCCTGGAAGCGGGCTGGCGGGCGCGGGGTGGGGGCGGCACGGAGCCTCCCCAGTCCCGCGTGCCGGTGCCCCCCGCCGCGCCTCCCGCGCCGCATCTTGGTTCCTGACCCACTTTCGCATATTCCCCCCCCCCGAAAAAAAACTTCCCTAGAGTTTTGGGATCGAACTTAGTCCCCCTAACTGGCCGAGAGGAACGGTCCTGTGTCCCTGGAGGGGGTGGGAGTAGGAGCTTAAACTGCAGGAAGCGCTGGAGATCGTGCTGTCTGGAGATCTTGATGTCGCCAGTTCTCGTAGCCCAAATGTCTTTCGGTCCGAGAGTATGAGGGGCTGGGGAGTAGGAGATTTGCTAACGTAAGTGGAGAAAAGAAAAGTAATCTGAGCCTCAGGGAGAAAACCTGTGGGCACTGCCTGTGCGGCCACCTTCTAGATACCTCTTTCAGAAAGAGGTTGTGATAGTGATAACGCTGGCTGGAACACCTCTTTTTGACTTCAGCGGGGCATTTGGCCCCAAGGCTTTGGAAATGTTAGCTGAACACCTAAGGATGAGGAAGGGGGGACAAAATGCTGAAAGGAAACCTCAGTAAATAGACAACTCGAAGATGGACTAAAGCACAGTTGCTTTGCTCAGTAGCAAATATGAGTCTTTCCCTGTACTGCGTTGTTCCTCAGGAGAAAACACATTCTCTCTCCTTAGGGTTGTTTCTAGATGGGATGAGCTCAGGACATATAAGCCAAAATCTCTAGTGTTCCATCTGAAATGGACAAATAAGAGTAACAGGAAAACTTCTGGTTTATTCTTTGAGTTGAACATTTGAGTACTGGTGCTGGAGCAGTGGAAGGGAATAGAACATGCACTTGGGGGGGGTGGAGGGTGAGAGCTTGGCAGGAGGAAGGGGTCCTAAGCAGCTCTCCAGGCAGGGAGAGTCCTAGCCTGAGTAAACCCTGAAGGATAGGAAACAGATGATTTTGAAATCACTTAAAATACTTTAGTTACAGCTGCAGTAGGAGTTTATTTTCAAAATGGAAAATCTGTAGCAAAAACAGTTACTAAAACTCTAGATAGGACTGCAGAGACTAATAGATAACATAGCAAATGCCACAAGTGCTAAGAAAGAGACTTTTGTACAAGCTTTTATCTCCTAACCAGTTTCCCAGTATTATTCTTGTCATAAAAGCACAATACTCTTCCAGCCTTCTGAAAACAATGTTATTTCTTGACTTGAACTCACCTTATCTTATTTCTAGAGTCTTTTGTCAGTCTGAATGGTTTACAATAAAAGATTCAGCTTGGCTAATTTTGTCACTGCTACTCCACATACAAGTGTCTGCTTTCAAACACACTCTGTTTTCTTGGCTCTTAACAGGAGTACTCCCCCAGCTACAAGAGGCGCAGGACTGTGGAGGATTTCAACAAATTCTGTACCTTTGTCTTGGCTTACGCTGGCTATATCCCTTATCCTAAAGAGGTAATCTTCAGAGCTTTCTAGATCTCTCCTTGGAGCAGTCAAACCAGAGCACTTTTACCTCATGCTCTGGAGGGTGACAATGCAGTAGCCTCTGTCAAGAAGACCTTGTACTCTTCAAGTAGCAACGTTGTTGTTGGGTGCCATCAAGTCATAGCAATCCTGTGGACAGAGTAGAACTGCCCCATAGGTTTTTCTCGGCTGTAATCTTTATAGGAGCACATCACCAAGTCTTTTATATTTTATAGTCTGGCAGAAATCTGTTTTCTTGGAAATTTAGACCAGCCAGGAAAGGGGTTCCTATAGCCATCGTAGAAAGTGCACGTTATATCTTTTTTTTTTTTTTTTTTTTTATCACTGCAACCAGTTGTCACCAAGTCAGGTCAGACTCATGGCAACTCCTTGTGTGTCAGAGAACTGCTCCTTAGGGTTTTCAGGGCTGTGAACTTTCAGAAACAGATTTCCAGGGCTTTTATTCTGAAACACCTGTTGGCCTTAGCTGTTAAGCACTTAGCTGTTTGTGCTATCCAGGAACTCCCAACACTTAATAATAACCAGTAGTAATTGATTGCTTACTGTGGTCAGGCACTATTCTTGTATTGATAGGAGGTAATTAATTGTAATTAAGCCCTGGTGGCAAATGGGTTAAGCGTTAGGCTGCTAACTGAAGGGTTGGCAGTTTAAACCCACAAGCTGCTCCATGAGAGAAAGATGTGGTATTCTGCCACCATAAAGATTTACAGCCTTAGAAGCTCTATGGGCAGTTCTGCTCTCTTTTATAGGGTCACTATGCGTCAGAATTGACTGTGTGGCAATGGTTTGTTTTGTTTGTTTGTTTACCACCATTATAAAGATGATAAAACTGGGGAGAAGAGTGGAGCATGAGGTTCAACCAGACTGGCTGAGTCCACACTGCCCTACCTTAGCATCCTGGTTGCTGTGCAAGCCACAAAAAGAGTCCTCAAGCAGTCAGTCATGGGCGAACATAAGGGCAGTGTTTGCACAGGGAGACAGCTGGGGGTGGGGTACATGGGAGGGAAAGGCACAGGGAAGAGGTAACTCCCGGGAGGAAGTGGGAAGAGAGCTGTTAAATTGTGGGGAATTGCAGTCAGCGTCATGAGACAAAATGTGTATGAACTGCTGTGTGGAAAATGAAACTGCTCTGTAAGCTTTCACCCAAATCACAATAAAAATTTAAAAAGAAAAGAGAAAAAATGTCCTCAAGAACTCATGGTCAAAATCCCATTTGAATGGGCTCTCCACTTAACTGAAAGGACTTTGTCTTTGCTGAGAAATGAACAGGACAGTGGACTAAGCTGCCATGTCATTCAACTTCAGAGGGCCTCCTTCATATTGTACTAGGCTAAGAAGAAAATAAGGAGCTCTGGTAGCATAGTGCCTAAAGCACTTGACTGCTAACCAGAAGGCTGGTGGTTCAAACCCACCAGCCACTCCTCGGAAGGAAGGTTGGGCATTCCTACTTCCGTAGTGATACTGCCTCGGAAACCCAAGGAGGGGTCGCTATGAGTCGGGGCCGACTGGATGGCAAATAACAACAACAACAACAACAAAGAAAAAGATAACTCAACATTTCTAAGAGGCAAAACCCCAGCAGTTTTTAGTGTTTACATACTGTGTAAGTGGATAATGATAAGTAGCAACATTGTTGTTGGGTGCCATCAAATCATAGCAACCCTGTGGACAGTAGAACTGCCCCATAGGTTGTCACTATTTGCAAATAACATGCTTGAATCGTCTGCAGTAAGCAAGTTCAGGTCATGGCTTTGGGGGCAGTAATTACTTACCTTGATTTTGCAATATTTTGGGATGGCTCCATTTTTAAAAAAAAAATTGTCAGGAAATCTTCAAAACTAACTTTAGTTCACTTAATTAAAAAATATGACCATTGGAAGGACCAAAAGGAAGGAAAGATTTTACCATCAGGGAAAGATGAGAGGGCATGAGAAGATGGCTTCATTTGTTTCCATGGGTATTTATTTAGCATCTACTAAGTTCACAGCTGTGGGACCAGGGCTGAGGGTTCTGTGAGGGTAGGCAAAGTTTCTTCCTTGGGTGCCCCTGTTCTCCCTGGAAAGGCTCATTAAACTAGTGCTTGACATGGCTCCTTGAGTAGAATGCTGGTGAGAAGCTCAAGGTTGGGAGAGCTCACCATCAGGAGGCTCTTGCTTGGCTAGGGGTGGGCTGGAAGCTGGGCTTGGGACTGGCCCTGTCTCTTGGGTCTGGTCAGTCACCAGAACCCTCACCCTTCTGCCCCTGTCTCTTCAGGAGCTGCCTTTGCGGAGCAGCCCCAGCCCTGCCAACAGCACTGCTGGTACCATTGACAGTGATGGCTGGGATGCTGCGTTCCCAGACATCACATCCTCTGTGACCCTGCCCGTCTCTGACCGCTGCTTCAGCCACCTACAGCCCACCCTCTTACAGCGGGCCAAGCCCAGTAACTTCCTCCTGGACAGAAAGAAGACTGACAAGCTGAAGAAGAAGAAGAAGAGGAAGCGGAGGGATAGTGATATGCCTGTCAAGGAGGAGTACATGGGGAGCTTGCTGAAGCTGGAAGCCGCTGATCCATATGTCGAGACTCCTACGAGTCCCACCCTGCAGGATATCCCCCAGGCCCCCAGCGACCCTAGCTCGGGCTGGGACTCTGACACACCCTCAAGTGGCTCTTGTGCCACGGTATCACCTGATGAGGTCAAAGAAATAAAGACTGAAGGCAAACGGACTATCATCCGGCAGGGAAAGCAGGTGGTGTTCCGGGATGAGGACAGCACTGGCAACGATGAGGACATCATGGTGGATTCAGGTGAGTGGTTCTTGGGTCACAGAGGCACTTTTTGTTTGGTGGGTAGAAGAGGGGCTACTTGAGGCAGGGGTCTCAGAGTCGTCTCTTTGGGGCATGGGCACCAGGAGTAGTGGGATCCTGCAGAGGGCCCTGTCCTTTTGGAAGTGTGATGGCAGAGTGTGTCCCACCGTTTCCAGGGAGGAAGGGTCAGAAGGGGAATGCCAGGATGTTTAGGAAGGGGTTGATCACAGAAACAGCTGAGATGCCAAGACAAACCTTAGAATGTAAAAATAACATAGTTCATAAATAAACATCTCATTGGTAATTCCTGGTTATCACGTAACTCATTTCTCTGTCATGAATTTATTGCCTTTTCAGAGAGGAAGTGTCATTGTTGAGTGAAAGTTGAAATAGTTTTTGTTTTTAGAATAACAGGTCTCATGGCAACTCAGTTGCTCTGTCCCATTGGATAGACAGCTTTCCTGATGGAGAGGGATGATGGAGAGTTTTTGTTCCTCTTAAATCTTCCTTGCTTTTCAGATGATGATTCTTGGGACCTCGTCACCTGCTTCTGCATGAAGCCATTTGCTGGCCGCCCCATGATCGAGTGTAACGAGTGCCACACTTGGATCCACCTGTCCTGTGCAAAAATCCGGAAATCCAATGTTCCGGAAGTGTTTGTCTGCCAAAAGTGCCGGGACTCCAAGTTTGATATCCGCCGTTCCAACCGTTCCCGAATGGGCTCCCGGAAGCTGTTTCTGGACTGAGTGCTGGTGTGAGAGGAGGCTGGGCAAGGAATTGGAAGGGACTGTGGGCTTTCTGGCCCCTTTCTTAGTTGAGCACAGAACTCTTAGCTCTGGTGTGGGCAGATCTCTGCCATCCAGGTGCCTAAGCAAAGGACAGGTTGTCCAACATCTAAACTGTACATAGCCAGTGACCGAATAAAATCTTTGTTGGCCAAAGCTGCTGCTAGAGCTGTGTTCTCTGCAGTGGAGGTGGACTGAACACCCAGGCTCAATGGGGTTTGGGTCAGCGGAAAATGAGGGTACATGGTATTGTGAACTTTCAATATCATTGTTAACAAATTCCTGCCGATTGGAACAAGTGCTAGTTGTTATTCCCTGCTTCCGCTGTGTTGGGGAGAGGAGGTCGTCAGTTTCCCCAGCCTATTATGTGAACAGCCATATGTGTAAGCTTTTTCTTGAGTGTGAGTCTTTTACCATAAGTATCTGTACAGCACCCATAAAAGGCCCTTTCCTGGTGGTCCCCTCTCTACCTGCCTCAGCCATCACAGGGTCTGCCAGCCCAAGTCCTCTGGTCTTGCTATGAGGATCCCTGGGGTGGTGGGCTAGCTAGTGATGCTTAGGTCTTTTCCTGTTCATTAAAAGGGACAGTATGTGGCCACTTTTCTGTGGAAAGGGGGTTGGTTGGGGAATTGAGGTGGCCTGTGTTCATAACGCAGTTTCCTGTTTTGCACGATGTAAAAAAAACCTGTCTTTTTGCACGATACAGCCAGAAGTGTTGGCCAAGTTCTTCTAGGTGCCCTATTGCTCCATTTGGTGTCTGAGGTACTGGCAGGGCCCAGGTTAACTGTTTTCAAGCATGGGAGCAGTTAGGTTCTCTCCTTACCATCTCTTCTCCCCTAATTCCAATGACAACATAGAGGCAAGGCAATCACTGGGATATTTGTGTGTTCCTCTAAGTAATGGGGTAAAGAAAGACAGAAGAGAGACCTTTCCTGTGGGAAATTGTTAGTGTGCCCTTCATTCAGGCTGGGCCTGCTGGTTCAACAGGGCAAGATTTAGGACTTGGATCCTGTTTTTGGTTTGAATTAGTGAGTGAGTGACCAATGCCACTGGTCCTCCCTCAGGAATCTTCTGTTGAACTGTGCAGAGTTCCTTGGGTCAAACCAGGATCCTAAACTGGGGAGACCCCTGCATGGGCCAGTTGTGAGGAAGCCAGGGAGCTAGGGACTGGAGCCCCATGTAGGAGCACAGTGTACCTGAACCCTGGTGGTTCCGGGCTTAGAGCGAGGGGGCTTCAGCTTTATTGTCACTGACCTCACTGTCAGCAGTTCAAATACTTGTTCTCAAAATGTTTTTTGTAAATTAATGGGTGTGTTTTCATAGCATTGTTTTTGTAAGGCACGAAGAACATCCATGTTAGTTATATTTATTTGCAGCAGGATGGGCCTGCAGGCTTCTTACTGGCTACTTCCCGTCCAGTGGCAGATGCCCCATGCAGGTCTACCAGGAGACCCCTCCACATTCTCTTGAGGAAGCACCCAGGTGGTTGAACCCTAATGTGGCCCACCATAGCCCAGCTTTTGGCCTAGTCTTCTACCGTTAATTCAGTCCTGTCTTTTAAAAGTTCTGTTGCTTATATTCACACAAAAGTAGGAATAGTATCTGAAACCCAGTTTATTGTGATGATCCCCAAGGGGGAAGTTATGCTGTGGAGGAAACCGTCAAAGCTGGTTTAGAAACAAGCTTCACCCCAGACAGCTGTGTGACTGACTAGGGCAAACGGCCAGGGCATGGTGGAGAGGAATTTGCCAAAGATCTGCCCGATGACATGGTCACATCCATTGTCTTCACCATGATGATAACCAAAGTTCCAAATATTTTTTTTTTAACTCCACAGTTTTAAAAGTGCATTTGAGAATTTGCATGATTTTAGGATGGAAGTGTCACCACTGGCCATTGTTAAGTTTGTGAAAAGGTTCAATGCCTGGAGTTGCCTCTGTGGAAAACAGTAGACGTTCATCTCAATTTTTCTTTTTGTTCTTTTTAACAGATCTGTCCCTGTGGGTGGTGTCTAAGAAACCAGACACCACAGTTTTTGTGTTAGATTGAGCTGGGCAGCTGCAATCAGCTTCTTTATGCAAATTTGGAAGGGCCCATCTAGGGGCTCCTGGTTGATGGCATATGGTAGGAGGGGAGGGGGAGGTGTCATCCCAAAAGTAGGCCCCTCCCATTGGCTTTGGCCAGGTGAGACACTTAACATCGTTTACATGGTTCTGTGTAATTATAAAGTTTATGTGTATAAAGCGAAGCTGTTTCTGTGAAACTGTATATTTTGTAAATAAATACGTTGCTACTTTGAGGTTCATGTCTGGCTTCGGGTGTTTTGTGTTTGCTGAAGAAGTATTGATGCCCCATCTACCACCATCTCACCCCAAAACCATAACTACACAAAGACTACTTGGAAGTTCACATCTGAGCTTCATTTAAACCAAAAAAACAAACTCATTGCTGTTGAGTCAATTCCAACTCATAGCGACCCCTTCTTGGGTTTCCATGGGGGTATCTCTATGGAAGTAGATTGCCTAGTCTTCCATCTGAGAAGTGGGTGGGGGGTTTGAGTTCCCAGTCTTCTGGTTAGCAGTCAAATGCCTTAAGCACTATGCCACCAGAGCTTCATTTAGCAACATGAAAAATGCCCACAGCCCTAGTAATACTATTCTAATAAATTTTCAAGAAAAAGAAATACATGTAGAGATGAATTGTGTTCATTCACATTTTCTCCCTCAAATTGTGGGTTCATTTAAACTGTTGTTACATGCGAATTGGACCCGACTCATAGTGACCCCTCCTTGGGTTTCAGAAGTAGATTGCCCCGTCTTCCTACCAAGGAGTGGCTAGTGGGTTTGAACCGCCAGCCTTCTGGGGAGCAATCAACTGCCTTAGACACTATGCTATAACTCTAGGGAGTGATAAACCTTCATAGAAACTGCATCCTCTGGAGCAATGCAAACCAAGTGCTAGCATGTCCTCTTCGTCATTTTGCTCCTTTACACTGAGTTCCCTGTCCCCAGTCTGTGACCCTATGCCTGAGCCTGCTTTTTGCTGAGCTGTGTGTAACATCTTCCAGACTGACACTAGTCACCAGCCAGTACTTCCTCCAGTGACTTGTGAAGAGGCAAAACATCTACTTATTGACACCTCTTAGAATCCCAAAAATGCTGGGGACAATGTGTATTGTGCCTTTTGCTGGTTTCCAGTTGTCCCAAACTGATACTGAGTGCGAGTCTTGGGGCTTCCAATTCTAGGAGGGGAAGCCGGGACTTGATTGAACTAGGGTAAATCTTCTCAGGGCCATTCTTTTTGGGATTTCGGGCTTGTCCTGTGGTTGGTCTGGGCTTGGGATCACCCACTAACGTGGGGCCTTGAGGCCAGCCTGCCCTGGAGCGACGGGGGTCCAGGTAAACGCGTCAGAGTCCAGCCCTGGTTGCCTCTGGACTTCCCGGCGTTGCCACAGGGAGCGCTGGTCCAGCCTCTCCAACAGGCCCCGCCTCACAGGCCCCACTGGCCGCGCCCCATCCTCAGGTCCCGCCTCGTAGTCTGCCCCTCCCCAAGGAGGGCGCGCTGGTCCCGCCCCTAAGGCCCGCTGCGCCCCGCACAACCTGGTACCGCCATCTTTGTTGGGGGCAGCCGGGCCTGTCAACGGGAGATGCCGAAGTCGTGCGCCGCCCGGCAGTGCTGCAACCGCTACAGTAACACCAGGAAGCAACTCACCTTCCACCGGTGAGATGTGGGGGGTCGGCAGGCGCGGAAGGTCTGCGCCTGGGGCCTTGGGCACCGGCTGCCCCGCTCGCTTCGTCCAGGCCGTCCGGGAGGCCTTGGAACGTCAGGTAGAAAAGTCAGGGCCGCTGCCGGTCCAGATAGGAAGGTCCGGATCCGGCGGGTCACCTGGCCATACCCTGTGCGCAGGGGCTAGGACGGTCCGGAGGACGGGTCAGGCTCACCTGCCGTTAGTGGGGACCGACCAGCGCTGCCTTGCCCCGTTTGCGGGGTGAGATGAGGAGACGGACACAGAGGTTAAATTATCTGCCCACAGCCACACCATCTCCTGGAAAGCCTGGCTGGTCTGGGAGGGCTTCCTGGAGGGGTAAGGACTTGTTCTGCGCCCTGGGAGTTCAGGTCTCAGCTGTCCCTGTAGGCCATACTCCAGGCACTGCATATCCGCTTTAATTTTCTTCTTAGTACTTAGCGCCCTCTGAATTATTTTCTGTGTTTATTGCAGAGCTTCAAACCTAATAGAACTGGCTGACCCAGTGAGACTGAAACAAACCCGAATTTGTAAAATGTTAGTGTGCTAGAATAGTAATGGGAATGGGAAAATTACAGATTAAAACCTTGAAATGGGATACTCAGAAGAGGTATAGTGAGCCCTTTCATGAGCCTGATGCGGGAGACTCATTATTGACAGGACTACGCAGAGTAACATACATTTAAAGCAGTGGAGTTGGCGGCCATCTTTGAGCCATGCGTTGTCTCTGTCAGTCAAGAGATTTCGTTGCTATGCAACACACATAGCCCTTGTTTTCTAAGAGAGAGATTACATTTCTAGCAGGGTGTCGACCTGTAATTTTTTCCCTCTGATACACCCACATTTTACAAATTTGGGTCTATTCCAGTTTTTGCCAAGACTGAACTGGGTGGAACCAATTAGAAGCCCTGGTTTATTGCCCCCTGGTCTCCCCCCACCTAATATGTCTCTCCATGTCACAGGGACTTGTTTTGTTCACAGCTGTGGCCTGGAACATAGCAGGTGTTTTGTTTAGTATGCATTTTCTGAATAAATGGAAGAGTTTGTCATGTGCTGGGTACTTGGCTAGACTCAGTCCATGCCTTATTTCATCAATGGGTGTGTGGGATAGAAGATTGAGAACTGGCTGGATGTGTCAGGAGAGTGTGGGCAGGGTTGAAAAGAAAGGGATATTTTGGCAGTCAGGAAGGATGGTGGGGATACTGGAGTCTTTCTTGCACTCCCAAGACCACCCAGGAGTGTGGTCCCAGGCTGAGTGTATGGGCCCCTGCCTGGAGAGCCTGTCTTCTTTTGTGAATTGGGTGTTTGCACACTTTCTACAAAGATCAAGTCACACACCATTGTTCTGTCCTCTTTAGAGCACAACTCCAAAGGGCTGCTCATACTCATTGCTACCATTTCCTCTCCTCCCATGATCATCTCTTTAAAACACATGTTTTTACTGGAGTAGGTGGTGTAGTGGCTAAGGCATTAAACTGCTAACCAGAAGATTGGTGGTTTGAACCCACCAGCCATTCTGTGGAAGAAAGATGGGGCAATCTGCTTCCGTAAAGATTTACAGCTTTGGAAACCCAATTGGAGGTCTCTATGAGTCAGAATTGATAAAATTGGCAGTGAGTTTGGTTTGATTTTTGGTATATGATGCATACAGAAAAGTGTACACAAGTATATAGCCTAGTGAATGTTCAAAAGGTGAACATACTTGTGTGATGCCCCCAGGACAACCCCCAGACTGTGCCCCCTGAGGTCACTAGTCCTCTTGTCTCCCCACATCCTGCACATAACCCATGGGCAGCTTCTATCAGCGTGGATCTGTGTGTCTGTTTTGAACTTTACATAACTGTAGTCACACAGTGTGTCCTCTTTCCTGTGTGCTTTTGCTCACTTACGTTTGTGAGTCATCCTTGTTCCACACTAAACAGTAGGTCATTCATTTTCATTGCTGTATAGTGTTCAAGTGAATGACTAGACTAGAATTGGTTTATCTGTTTTACAATTGAGGTGCATTCAGGTGGCCTCCACCTTTTAGCCATTGCAAATCTGCTACTGTGGAGACTTTGCCTGGCCCAGTCTTTTGCTGCTGCAGCTATACATTCAGTTGGGCATATATTTGGGAGTGGAATTGCCTCCTGTTCTCTTGGACCCATTCCAGTCAGATTGTCACCCTTACCACTCTGACAGATTGGCTCTGTCAAGATCACCTTCATTGACCTATGCAGTATTTCATGCAATTGATCAGTGACTCTTTGCAAACTTTCCACTTGGCTTTGAGGATACCACACTCAGCCTCTTCCTTTGTCACAGCTCAGTGGCCTTTGCTGGGTCCTCCTCACTTTTAATGCTAAAGATTGGAGCCCCTTGGGATGTGGGCCATAGTCCTGAGATCATCCCCATCCACAGTCACTTCCCAGGGCAGTGATGTCACCCAGGCTGTGGCCTTAAAGCTGTTGATATAGGGATGGCATCTCCAGACACATGTGTCCACCTGTCCACTCAGTTTCAGCACTTGGACATCTAAAAAACACCTCAAATTTAACATCTAATACATAAGAAAAAACTATCCTCCAAACCTGCCTTTCCTACAGCCCCTTCCATCTCCATACACGAGATTCCTTCGCTCCAGTTCCCCCGCAGTGTCTATTTCACGGCCTACAGCTAGTCCATCATCAAACCTTATTGTCCTGCTTTCAAAATCCCCCCTAGATCTGCCTTCTGATCCCACCTTCTACTGCTGACCCCTGGTTCTGAGTGCCTCCAGCAGCCTGTGTGGACTGAGGTCCAAGACCCCCCTCTCCCTGAGGCTCTGTGCCATTTGCCCCCATCCCTCTCTCACCTGACTCTTAGCCCACCTCCTCTGCCCCAGGCTCCTCCCCCTGATGGCTCCTTGTCATGCCAAGCATGCTCTTAGCATAGCACGTTTGCTCTGCTACTTGCTCCCCATGCCCTCAGTCTCTGCCCACATGTCCTCTTCCGTGGCCTTCTCTGACCACCTGGTGCTTCCTGGCACTTACCACCATCTGGCCCACTACATCTGTATGGTCTAATGTTGTCTCTCCTTTTTAGAATGGAGGCTCTATGAGGGCAGGGGCTTTTTCTTGTTCCTTCCCACACCCCCAGCACCACACTCAGGGTCCAACACAATGGGCTTTTGAGTGAGGGGTGAAGGGAATGCCCCCCTGCAAACATTACTTAGGAAATATCACACCCTTGGGCTCTTGGCCACATTCCTGATCTGAGGTTTTTTTCTATTGTTTTTGTCGTTAGGTGCCGTGGAGTCGGCTCCAAATCATAGCTGCCCTGTGCACAACAGAACGAAACACTGCCCAGTTCTGTGCCAGCTTCACAATCCTTGCTACAGTTGAGGCCATTTTTGCATGATACCCTTCTCCAGGGAATGGTCTTTTCTGACAGCATGACCAAAGTAGGTCAGACAAAATCTGGCCATTCTTGCTTCCAAGGACCATCCCAGTTGCACTTCTTCCAGGACAGATTTGTTGGTTCTATAAATCCATCTTGTTCAGGGCCTTCCACTTTTTAACTCCCTCTACTTTACCAAGGATGATATTCTGCTCCAGGGAATGGTTCCTTCTGACAACATGGCCAAAGTAGGTGAGATGAAGTCTGGCCATTCTCGTTTCCAAGGAGCATTCCAGCCGCAGTTCCTCCAGGACAGATTTGTTTGTTCTTCTGGCAGTCCATGGTACTTTCAGTATTCTCTGTCAGCATGACGATTCAAAAGCATCAACTCTTCTTCAGTCTTCCTTATCCATTGTCCAGCTTCCACATGCATATGAGGGGATTGAAAACACCATGGCTTGGGTTAGGGGCACCTTCATCTCAAAGTGACATCATTGCTCCTTAACATATTAAAGAATTCTTTTGTAGCAGATTTCCCCAGTGCAGTAAGCTGTCTGATTTCTTGACTGCTGCGTCCATGGGTGTTGATTGTGGATCTAACTAAAATGAAATCCCTGACAACTTCAATCTTTTCTCCATTTATTGTGATATTCCTTATTGGTCCATTTGTGAGGATTTTTTTTTTTTTTTTAATGTTGTGGTGTAATCCATACTGTAGGCACTAGTATTTGATCTTCATCAGTAAGTGCTTTAAGTCATCTTCACTTTCAGCAAGCAAGGTGTATCATCTGCACACTACAGATTGTTAATGAGTCTTCCTCTAATCCCGATACTACATTCTTCATGTAGTCCAGCTTCTCAGATTACTTGCTCAGCATACAGATTGAATAAGTGTGGTGAAAGGGTACAACCTTGACACACACCCTTCCCGATTTAAAACCGTGTGGTATCCCCTTGTTCTGTTTACAGCCTCTTGGTGTATGTGTATGTTCTTCATGAGCACAATTAAGTGTTCTGGAATTCCCATTCTTCTCAATGTTATCCATAATTTGTTATGAATATAAAATTAAATGCCTTTGCATAGTCAATAAAACACAGGTAAACATCTTTCTGGTATTCTTTCAGCCAAGATCCATCTGACATCAGTGATATCCTTTGCTTCATGTCCTCTTCTGAATCCAGCTCACATTTCTGGAAGTTCAAGTCAGTATACTGCTGCAACCAGTTTTGAATTATCTTTAGCAAAATTTTACTTGCATGTAATAGTAATGATATTGTTTGATAATTTCCACATTCTGTTGGATCACTGTTCTTTAGAATGGGCACAAATATGGATCTTTTTGTCAGTTGGCATAAACGAGTGAGCACCTCCAGCACTGCATCCATTTGTCGAAACAAAGGAGTATTCCATTAATTCCTGGAGCCTTGTTTTTTTGCCAATTCCTTCAGTGTAGTTTATACATCTTCTTTCAATATCATTGGTTCTTGATCATATGCTGCCTCCTGAAATAGTTGAACATTGACCAATTCTTTTTCTGTACAATGACTCTATGTATTCCTTCCATCTTTTTTTTTTTTTCAGATTTTATTGTGAGTTGGGTGAAAGTTTACAGAGCAAATTCACTTTCCATACAGCAGCTCACATATACTTTGTCTCATGACATTGACTGCAGTTTCCCACAATGCAACAGCTCTCCTCCCACTTCCTCCCCATAGCCACCTCTTCCCTGTGTCCTTCCCTTCTATATACTCCTGTCCCCCGAGCTGTCTCCCTGTGCATGCACAGCCCTTCTATTCTCCCATGATTGATCTCTCCAAGGAGTGTATCTACCTACTGTAAATGTTCACCTTGTATTCCTGTCTTTTATTTGGCTGTCCTTCTATCTTCTTTTGATGCTTTCTGTATCATTCAATATTTAGCCCATAGAATCCTTCAGTATTGCAACTTGAAGCTTGATTTTTTCCTTCAGTTTTTTCAGCTTGTTTTTCCTTTTTGGTTTTCTAACTCCAGGCCTTAGCAGATTTCATTATAACACTTTACTTTGTTTTCATTATAATACTTTGTCTTGAACAGCTCTTTGAAATCTTCTGTTCAGCTCTTTTATCTTGTCATTTCTTCCATTCACTTTAGCTACACTGCATTCAAGAGGAAGTTTCAGAGCCTCTTCTGACATCCATTTTGTTCTTTTCTTCCTTTCCTGTCTTTTTAATGACCTTTTGCTTTCTACATGTATGGTGTTCTTTATGTCATCCCACAACTTGTGTGGTCTTCGTTCACTGGTGTTTAATGCATCAAATCTGTTCTTCAGATGATCTCTAAATTCAGGTGAGATGTAATCAAGTTTGTATTTTGGCTCTTGTGGACTTGTTTTGTTTTTTTTCAGTTTCAACTTGAACTTACATATGAATAATTGATGATTGTTCCACAGTCAGCACCTGGTCTTGTTTTAACTGATACTTTTGAGCTTCTCTATCACTTCTTTGTAGTCAGTCTGATTCCTGTGTATGCCATCTGATGAGGTGCATGTGTGTAGCTGCCATTTATGTTTTTGAAAAAAGATATTTGCAACTGCAGTGTAGTAAATTACATAGTGTGGCTTTTCTAGCCGTAAGTCTTTGTAAATTCTGTGGTAGATTTGCTGTAAGCAACTGAGTAGCTCCTGATTGTTAAAGTTATCCACCTGGGGTATTTCTGTTGGGAGCAGCACAAAGTAATTTCTGGAAAGTTTGCTCGCTCTCAGGTGTATAGAATTCTGATGTTGGGATTGGTTAGTTTGCTACTCTGCCAGGCTCAAAAGGAGTCTTCCTAGAGGTAGAAGGAATATCTCTCACTGCTAGCTAGGAGATGCGAGAGACAGGCATTGCTGAGAGAGAGACATGAGAGATACGCATTGCTGAGAGAGACGTGAGAGACATGCACTGCTGGAAGAGAGACACCAAGAGACATGCACTGCTGGGAAAGAGATTGAGAGAGACTCTCAGCTGAGAGACGGTGGGCTGGGAGAGAGACTGAGCATATTCCTGAACTTGAATTGTAGCCTGTTGCTTCCCTAATAAACCCCATAATCTGTGAGTTCTGTGTGGCTACTGCAGTGAATTATCGAACCCAGCAGAGAGGTTGTGGGTGCTGCAGGAGGAACGGTTAGTGTCAGGGTTGGTGAAAGGGCTGGAGGGAAGTGACATGTCTGGCCTCACAGGAAAAGGACTTGGGCTACTGATGGTGATTCTGTCTTCCTTTTGTGGGGTTAGAGGAGTTCAGAAATGTGGCCTCCTTGCTCCTTTGGAGCAGTGAATAAGTTGTTGGTCTTGTAGAATTCTATTATGTGATGTCTGGAGTAATTTCTGTTACCAAGGCCATATTTTCCAACTACTGATGATTCTTCTGTGTTTCCAACTTTTGCATTCCAGTCACCAGTAATAATCAATACATCTTGATTGCATGTTTGGTCAATTTCAGACTGCAGAAATTGGTAAAAATCTTTAATTTCTTCATCTTTGGCTCTAGCTGTTGGTGTGTAAATTTGTATAATAGTGGTATTATCTGGTCTTCTTTATGTTGTTAGGTGCTATCGAGTCATCTCTGACTCATAGTGACCCTGTGTACAACAGAACAAAACACTGCCTCGTCCTGTGCCAGCCTCACAATCCTTGCTATACCTGAGGCCATTGTTGCAGCCACTGTGTCAGTCCATCTTGTTGAGGACATTCCCCTTTTTCATTGACCCTTCACTTTACCAGCATGATATCCTTCTTCAGGGAATGGTCTTTTCTGACAGCATAACCAAAGTAGGTCTGACAAAATCTGGCCATTCTTGCTTCCAAGGAGCATCCCAGTTCCACTTCTTCCAGGACAGATTTGTTAGTTCTGAATTTGTTAGTTACTGAATACTTTCAGTATTCTTTGGCAACACCACAACTCAAGAGCATCAACTCTTCTTTGGTCTTCTTATTTGTTGTCCAGCTCTCAGATGCATATGAGGCAATTGGAAATACCATGGCTTGGGTTAGGCACACCTTAGTCTTCACAGAGACATCTTTGCTCTTCAGCAAAAAGAGGTCTTTTGCAGCAGATTTTCCCAGTGCAATATATCATCTGATGTTTTGACTGCTGCTTCCATTGGTGTTGATTGTAGAACCAAGTAATATGAAGTCTTTGACAACTTCAGTCTTTTCTCCATTTATTGTGATGCTGCTTATTGGTCCAGTTGTGAGGATTTTTGTTTTCTTTATATTGAGGTGTAATCCCTACTGCAGACTGTCGTCTTCAATCATTATCAGTAAGTGCTCACTTCCTGGTTTCCCTTAGCTGTTCCACAACCACTGCCAGCTTGCTTCCTGGTCTTCCTTATTGATGTATGGATATTATTCTATCACTGACAACACTGTACTTCAGGATAGATTTTGAAATGTTCTTTTTGAAGATTAACGTGATGCCATTCTTCTTCAATTTGACATTCCTAGCATAGCAGATCATAGGGTTGTCTGATTCAAAATGGCCAAAACTGGTCCATTTCAGCTCACTAATGCCAAGGATATTGATCTCTATGCATTCCATTTCATTTTTGACAACTTCCAATTTTTCTAGACTCATACTTCATACATTCCATGTTCTGATTATTAATGAATGTTTGCAGCTGTCTCTTCCTATTTTCAGTTGTGCCACATTAGCAAATAAAGGTCCTAAAAGCTTTACTCCATGTCATTAAAGTTGACTCTACTTCAAGGAATCATCTCTTCCCCAGTCATATTTTGAGTGCTTTCCAACCTGTGGTGCTCATCTTCCAGCACTGTATCAGACAGTGTTTCACAGTCATTCAGAATTTTTTCCAGTAATATATCAGACATTGTTTTACTGCTATTCATAAGGTTGTCAGTGGCCAATTTTTTCAGAAGTGGATGGCCGCATCCTTCCCAGTCTTAGTCTGGAAGTCCACTAAAACCTGTCCACCACGGGTGAGCCTGCTGGTGTTTGAGATGCTGGTGGCCTAGCTTAGAGCCTCACAGCAACACACGAGCCATCACAGTGCAACACACCGACAGACAAGCGGCAGGGGTTTTCTTAGGAATGCTGTTAAGGCTGTAGCAGAAGCCTCCAGGAATTGGATGGGGCTGAAGAAAGTGAGATCTGTGAATTTTTCAAGTTTTCCAGTAAAATTCTCTGGGATAATGTGAAAATTCTTCTCCAGGGAATGGTCCCTTCTTACAACATGACCAAAATAGGTGAGACGAAGTCTGGCCATTCTTGCTTCCAAGGAGCATTCTGGCTG